GATGCCACGTGCAGTATTGATACTCGGAATCCTCTCTGGCACGAGATAACCGTCGTATTGGAGTCGAGAAGTGGGTCGCCCATCACGCCACCTGAGCGGGATGTTAGTACCACATGGTAGGCATACGGGACGTGCGCACCACTTCTCAGACTAGACTAGTCAGGTGCGTCGAGTGCAACAATTCCCAAGTGGGCTCTCTGTGTAATCGAGCCGGCGCAGATTCTAAATGGGCGCTATCAGCTACGAATGCAATGGTCCTCAGGGAACACGCACAGGAGGGCACCATGAGCGGACTCGAAAACCAGCTCTACAAACGACGACGTACACCCTCGGCCTGGGTGCACCCCGCCTTCTCAAAAGCTGGTCCTCTGCACGCACTCGAAGACGCCAACATGGGGTTTGGTCAGCCGTGGTTGTGAATATAAAAATAGATTAACCCAAGAGAGAGGCAGGAGGGGACATTCTATACTGCGCTTACTGGGATATAGAATTCAGCGTACGACAAATGCGTCCTTCCATGGAATATATCTGAACCCGGCTGAGACACGACGACGCTCCTATCACCCACAAGTGGGCATTAGAACCTTGCTGTATCACCCGTTAGCGTGTATCACAAACAAATAGCACGCACGTTGAAATGTCGCCTGCGCCACCGAGTCGACTTAGCTAACGAGAAAATGCATTCTCGGCCAGAATGCACCTCCTACACCAACCAAACCGATACACCTACCACACTCCGGCCAAGTCCGTGTAGAGACTTACTATGGGTTGAATAATATCAGCCGAGATCTAAACAGTTGGAACTTGGAACAGAGAAGCCTCCAAACGGAGTCCACGAAGGGAGTCCCAATACAAATCGATATTGGACGGCCTAGTATGGATATGTTCTGAAAAGAAAGCCCATCACATAAAAGGGGACAGGGAATAAAGGGGGAGGGGGGGGCGACACACAAGCCTCCATTTCGAGACTTGTGGTACCTTGTATGGCATTGGCGTCCGTCGCCCGTCGCAGTCGCGGGCACGCCGCACGACGGACGTCAATGCCAAGGCAGGGAGCGGGTAGGGGTATAGAAATGGTCACGTAGCTGCGAATCTAACGCGGTGCTGTCGTCCAGCTGAGACCAGATAGCTGGAGGCCAGGCGTAGTCTGTTCTGAAGGGGTATGCCGAAAAATAATTCTAGAATGGGAGTCCTTCAGACCAGACCGTACAAGTTCGGAACTAGTCACAGTCCACTGAGAAGTGGGGAGCACGTACCTTGGGTGCAAGGAGAATGCGCCTGGGTGCCAGAACCATAGGCATCAAAGTGCACACTCGGCCAGCGTGCACTCCTCCGCCATCGAGTCCGACACTCCTTTGCATTCCTCTTGCGTCGAGAAAGAGTGGATCTCAAAAATATAGCTGATGAGGTAGAAAGGGATACATTTAGAGATGGGTGTGTTCAATGGGTAACGAAGCGGAGTCAGTCGTTGTGGGACAAAATGCAACGGAGTGTCCAGGGAACTAGCGACATTTAATAGCGGTTACTATAAGACTGACGTTTGAGGGGAACAGAAGACCCACCACAGATACCCTCCACAGTGCGTTGTGCAATGCCACGTGCAGTAGCGATGCTCAGAATCTTCTCTTGGACACGAGATAAGGTTATAAAGGTATTGGAGTAGAAAAGTGGGTCACTCGTCACGCCACCTGAGCAGGATGTTAGTACCACATGGTAGGCATAAGGATATGGGCACAATGTCCCAGCCTAGACCAGTAGCAGGGCACCGCAAGCGGACTCGAAAACCAGTTTGACTGACGACGACGTACACCCTCGGCCTGGGTGCACCCCGCCTTCCGAAAAGCTGGTCCTCTGCATGCACTCGAAGGCGCCAATATGGGGCCGGGTTAGTCGTGGTTGTGGATGGAAAAATAAGTCGACCCAAAAAAAGGCAGGAAGGGAGGTTCTATATTTCGCGCACTGGGATATAGCCAGCGTACGACAAATGCGCCTTTCCATGGATTATATCTGAACCCAGCCGAGACATTACGCACTTGGTTTACCAGAACCCTAGCCCTACTGTATCACTCGTTAGCGTATATGACAAGCAAAGAGTACGCACGTTGTAATGTCGCCTGCGCCGAGTCGACTTAGCCAGCGAGAAAATGCATTCTCGGCCAGAATGAACCTCCTGCACCAGCCAAGCCGACATGCCTACCACACGACAAGTCATTGTAGATGCTTACTATAGGGTGGATAAGATCAGCCGAGATCTAAATAGTTGGAACATATAAACCCCAAGGAAGCCTCCAAACAGAATTCACGACGGCAGTCCTGATGCAAATGGACATTTGACGGCCTAGCATGGATATCTTCTAAAAAATAAGTGCTTCACATAGAAAGGGACAGAAAAAAGAAGGGGAGGGGGCCCGACACACAAGCCTCCGTTTGAAGACTTGTGGTCCCTTGTATGGCATTGGCGTCCGTCGTACGTCGCAGTCGCGGGTACGCCGTACGGCAGACGCCAACAACGGGACGCGGAAGGAGGTGACAACATGAAAACTCAGCTAGAACTGAAAGAATTCGGCAGACGACTGTATCTCCACTCATCAGAATAGATCAAAAACGAGTCTTAGCCGAGCGAGACGTACAAAAACATTGTGCCGCGTACTTCCAGGTGCAGGTCATTCCGTAGCCGTAACGCATGTCCTGCGGAAGAACGCGAACTACTCCTTTCCGCAGGCATTGGAGCGCTTCCGGAGTATGTGGGGAGCTACCCAAAGTGGCGCCAAAGCCTCGCTCAGCTTGGAAACCGGCGGTTCGACCACGGAAGACTTGCTGCAACAGGGTGCGGTGACTCTGAATTCACAGACGCCACCCTGTCGGCCAAAAGAATGACGAGCGATCACTACGGCTGCGGTACATCTCAGCTCTACTGCCCCGAGCAAAACAATGACGAAGATTAGCACTCACAGTTCTCACCCCAGACCCGAGCGGCAAGTTTGGACACAGAGCATGTAACACGCCTATTCTAAGGATGAGGGAAGTTGTGGATGGAGAATACATGGTGTATTGCGACTCGGAACTAAGAACGTTGAAGGCAAAGCCGAAGGTACAGAGAAGGTAGTATATATCCACTTGTTTTGGACACCGTCCAAGGTTGTGATTGTAAATGAACCAGACAGTGATGGAATTTCCAGTCTCAGTCCAGCCTTAGTCCAGTCCAGCTCTACGTTTCATTTCTTGGAGGTCGCACTGCCGCAGCAGCGCACTCAGCTGGTCTCAATGCCGGTCCCAGGCGCAGGAAAAGGCGGTCCGGACAGAAGGCGGAAGGAAGCGAAGACGAGCACCACGTGAGACGTTCCATAACGTCATCGTTAACAGGGGTAATTAGCGTATTATATAATCGGCAATGTTCTTTGTTTGTTTGTTTATGTTATTGTCGCGTCTCGACCATGAGTGGTGATCATCAGCTTACCGAGGGTATCTGCGAAAGGTTCAACTCTGGTGACAAAGATGACGAGTCTCTGTGGAAATCTACGCCTACATTCAGTTAATTGCTATCAAGAAAATCGCCGTGAGCGGTGCTACAAGCTCTTCCAGCGATCAAAGCGCCTCGACCAATGATAGATACAGAATCATTATCTCGGACGGCCAACACTACCTTCAAGCTCTGCTCGCTACCCAGCTGAATTATCTTGTCGAGGAAGATCGCATCGGTAAAAATACCATCGCCATCGTTGAGTCCATGTCCTGTCAGCACATTCTTGACAAACGGTTCGTCTGCTTTATGTTGCTTTCGTTGCAAATGGCTCACCGCTACGTTAGAATAGTGATTCTCCTTGGCCTCAGGGTTTTACACAGGGATTCACAACTAATCGGCAATCCAGCCCCTGCATTACCACTTGAGTACCGCGGCGCTGAGCGTGAAAGCATGCCATCTGCACTCGTCTTGATCGCAAACGGGACAGAAGAGATGGAGTTGTCAGTCAACCATATCAGATCGACCTTATTCGCTGATCTAAAAATCTTTCATAAGCACCATCGTGTATGATACCCTGGTACGCGCAGGGGTGAAGTGCACGTCCGCTCTCATCACCCCGTCTGACCAGCCCGGAGACGACCAATCCCAACCGGCTACCGCTCAGTGTTCTCGTGGAATACGCATTGTGCCCGACATCTCGCAGTCTCAGCTTAGCGCGTCCAGTGTGGTATGTCTTCTTTCATATTGATCGACGTCTCTCGGAATATTGGTATGGTATTCAACGTAACGCGGCGGCGTTTTGAGGGAGAATACGACGCGATTGTTATTCCTGGCGGGGCGAAGGGTGCTGAGACCATGTCTCAATCTCCCCTCGTCCAATCCTTGGTCAAAGACTTCTATGATCAGGGGAAATACGTAGGGATGATCTGCGCTGGTACGACCCTGATGAGATCATGGGGACGACTAGCCTCATCAGAGCTTCGAAACAGGTAGCCTTGCCGCGAAAACCTCTCACCTGCCACCTCAGCCCTTGACGTCTCATCCGTCGGTCAAGAAGGAACTTGATAAAGGTATATCTGCCATAATCTACGTGGGTGCTCATTGCATGGCCTCCGATAGACTTCGACTATCGCGAAGATCCAGTGGTGATCTCCGGGAAGCTCATCACAAGGTACTTAGAACCTCATTTTGTTGTTAGCTCACTGTTCGCTGACAGCCTGAGGCATCTTCTCTCAGCCGTGGACCAGGCAGGTCTACCAATTCTTATCGGCTAAGCCATTCTGACTCCACTAGGGACCGCATTTCCTTTTGCATTCGCACTTGTCGAAGGTCTCTGTGGAGAAGAGAAGCGGTTGGAAGTTGTGAAACCTATGGTTTTCCCTTCCGGAACGCCGTTGTTGTAGATATTTAGTTTTTCCCCACTGGCAGTTCGTCCAAAGTTGTATGTTACTGTGAGAGCTGGTTCGGGTGTGTGGCCCACCCACGAGTTCCAAAGAATCAAAAATACGTAGTTTATTGAGAGAAAAAGCTTTTCTGATGACCACCGCAGGGGTCGAACCTGCAATCTCCTGATTGCGATAAATCGTAGTCAGACGCGATGCCATTTCGCCAGGCGGCCCAATGCAAGATTTGTATTCTTCGCCTATCATATCTGATGATCGGCTTTGACGGCGCCTAAACGCTAAAGCCAAGATGCGAGCGAGTGCGAATGAACTTTCCAAGGTTTACGTCTGAGTCTTCTACAGAAGCCCGTCCTCAGATAATCTCATCAACACCATCACAATCGGCCAATTTCTTCCTTCCCAGTCGCTGAAAAGTATGTCCCTTTCGTTCCAAACCGCCTCTACTCGGATTATTTGTCTTGAAGCATGTGGATCGCTGCCGTATTATCGTGTTCCTCGAGGCTTTTGAGGCATTCGCACAGTAGTTGCCCTTCGTTTCATTCTCTGATTCTCTATGCCTTTGCGTCTCTACGTCGTAACCTGAGGGATGTCGATGAGACGCTGTATGACTGGGCAACTCACAACCGCTCAAACAAATGTACGCTACAAGGTTTATGTGGCTCTTCCATTATAATTGAATTAGGTGGGGGTTATAAGCATCATCGCCGCGACTTTGCTTGCACTGTCACCTATCGTGCAACCACGGGCAACCCTTTCTACCACAACCACCACGATTAAGTCTTCGTCGCCGCGGTGCAGACTCAGGAAGGTGAATACAGTCGGGGTCGAGTTCACCTCTAGTCTACAACTCCATCTTCTCTTCCCACCCTGGGTTCTTTTGCAGCAGAATGAACCCCTCCAACACGTGCGCGAACGGAATATATTCTTCCGTTGCAAGCTCCGCACGCTCTGTCGTGGCCACTCGTACGGGTGTTTGGTACGTTTGGAAACCTGATATGGTGCGCGGCTTCCCTGCTTGACCTACAACATCGACAGCCTAAGAGTGGGCATGAACGTCAGACGTATCCTAAGTAGGTCGGCTGAGACTTACTGTGCCAACTCGGACGGTGACAGGTTTGGGTTCAAGCTCATCGTCAAGGGTGATCAAGAATCGGGGGTACATAGCTGGAACCAGGAAGTAAAGCATCCAATGGTACTTATCCAATATGACTATGGCAAAAGCAACGTTGATTCTCTACATCGGACTGGTTAAGTGAGAACTTACAAGCTTTCGCGTCCGTGAAAGCTGTGAGCGTTGCGAGTAGGCCAGCGATCGCGGTTTTGCTCAGAATAGTCCGATCAAGGTAGAATGGGTTGATGCCAATTGTGCCTTTGCCCATGTGGACGAGACCCTGGGCGATCCGCACCATGAAGAGGCAATCGGCTTCCTTGTGGTAGTAACCCGCTAGTTGTCGCAACATTTGGGCAAGCCGAGCGTTATTCGTCCCCGCCCCGACGAGACCCATGGCAAATATCGCATTGAGGGCAACAGCGAGGTCATTGTCGTGACTATACTTTGAAAGAGTATCGAGAATAGGAAGCTGAGGGTTCGAAGCCGAGACAAGGCCAAGTGCTAAGGGCACACTCTTACGAATGACGGGATCACCGTAGTGCATCTATGGTGGGGTTTGTTAGATGGATGTGACTCAAGGAACAGAATAATACACACTAAATGGTTGAACTGTCGGAGAGACATCTCCGCACCAATATCCTCGCCCATGGCCACAAGAGCAATCCCGAGTACTGCGAAAGCTTGGGACGTGTCATCTTGCTTGGTTTCCGTCTTTTTATCTCCTTCCTGCTCTGAAGCCGCAACGGCATCTTTGGCATTTAGGTGTTCGCCGCAATGCTGCAGCATTGTCTGTACACGGAGAACATTGCCAGTCCCAGCGAAAGCACACATCTCAACAAGAACTTGAATCTGTTTTGATGCTTGATGAGGAATTGCTTTCAGTGTTTCGATTGTCGCATCGTACGAATCACTCGCTTGAACACCTATCGGCAAAAGTTTAGCCTGTTGTAATAGTCATTTGCGGGGTGACTGACCGACATAAAGCAGTGCCAGGCCCAACCCCAAAAAGCGCGTCCATTTCTCGTCGAGCGCTTGCTCCCCCTTTTCCATCAAAGTCTGGAGAATAACTCCCGCAGCTTCGCCGTTTTCGCTTCCAACGAATATAAGACCAACGGCGAGCGCGGCGAGCGCAACGATCTCCATGCTTAGATCGTCATCAGATACGAGAGGAAGTATCATGTTAAGGATATCCTCGCGTTGAGATCCGGCGTAGGCGAATCCCAGGCCAGTGATAGCAGATGTCCGCAGTGGAATAGACTTGTTAGCTATGTGATCACCAAGAAGTGCCAACGCGGCATCAGCTTCGGAACGGACGCCAGTGTTAAGAATACCGGTGGCAAGAAAAGCACCGGCCTGCAAGACAAGTATTAGGAGGAAAGACCAAATGATAAACGTGGAGGCGAGCCTTAATATACTCCTCGGAGGAGTAAGTGTATTTGTCTACATGGCTCAGGCCTATTTCGGTGTCCCACAGTAAGCTGAGGCCAAGGCTCGCAGCCGCAGACAACATTCCTGTCAGTAAAGTGTTCAGTCATACCAATTTGCATAAATGGATTCCTTACCGTGATCTTTATTCTTATAAATCCAACTGTTGCCCTCTTCCGCCTCCACCATAAGCTTATCATTTCCGAACCCTGCATTAACGAAAGCGTTGACGAAGGTGCCAGCTAAATTACCCCGTGCTGAGTCAACACTCGCAGTTGATGAGCCTTATACAGGAAGGAAACTGTAAGCAATGCCTGATGGGATAGCATTAGACATACGGGAAGTCTCCAAGTGGGATTTGTAAACGTCCTCCAAGCTCTTTGGATCCGAAACGCCAAGCTCCTTTCCGAACTGCTTAAAATGGGTGCTCAGGCGCGAGTTGAATAAGATCTCTTGCAAATCTTCAGGTAACTCCTCCAATGTCTCGTCTCCGTCGTCATCGGTCATTGACTGTTGTAGCCAATGATATGGGACTTGCGCCCGGGCGAGGACGAAGGCAAGTTGACGTTTCATCTGCCTGTATTTGCCATCAATGATGAGGTATTCATCTCATCGCAATCACGCTTACGGATTACCGGGGGCATGGAAGTCCCTCCGGATGAGTTCTGAATCATTGAGCCGGATGGCCAACGAAAGTGCCTCAGGGAATCGCTGATGCTTCTCGTAGATCATATGTGCCGTCTTCAAGAACGCTATATCGTCCTGTGGTGGAAGCAGATTTACACATCTGGCATAGCCGGTCAGAAGAATAGACACTGCGATGCAAGGAAGAGTTACCTACGCAATCATATAGGCAGCAACACGATTGAAAGTATTCGTGTCCACGAGTTCTACAATACGATCTATAATCTCCATCTCTTCTAATAGATCAACTGCGTCTGGCTCTGCATTGTGCTCAAGTAAAAACGTTGCGCAAACCAGCGCAAGATTGTGGAGGTCCTCTAATGTTCCGACAGAAAGCGGCATTTGAGGTGGCACACTGTCGCCTTTCTCCTCGTCTGTCGCAGGGACCTCTGACGCGGCAACATCTGACGGCGCGGGGGATTTCGTTGCCTCCGTCTGTTCGCGAAGATTGTACTCTTCGCCAAGTTCAGCAGCCAGATGTCGGACGTACTCGTGCCCCCAGTCCCCCGGGTCTGCCAGCGGAGATGTTAGAGGACGCATAGACGCCGCAAGCAGGCGGTAGCGTAGTGTGCCACGAGGTTCGGTATCAGAGTATGTCATAGCGAGTACTGAGAGTATGTCCGCAAAGAGACTCTGTTCACCAGCGATTGGGGTCAGTCATTCAACCACTGGTAATAGTGAATGGAGACCTTGTCTTCTGAAGGGGACCAGAGCTCGTATAGGCGCTGTAGTTCAGGGTAATGGGGTCGGAGAAACTTCAGAGGCTTCGGAACAGAGGTCATGGATGAAGTAGATGTCCGTATGAGGGTGCGAAGAGTCTCAAGGGCAGGCCGGTATAAGGTGGTATCTGGTTCCTGTGAGACACTCAGTCGCATGGCCCAAACGCAAGAGATGGCGCGCACTTTCAGTCGTTCCACCAGCATCTCCAGTTCCCCTCGAAGTTGCAGATCCTCTTCAGACTAAATGATATTAACACGACGGTCATGTTAGGCACCTCAGCAACGTACCAACTCCTCCCCTTCTTTCTCATCGGGCTTCTTCTTGGAAACAGCGCCGTTCTTCTCATTATCTTCTTTCTTTTGGGGGTCTTTCGACGGGACTGCGATGGCTGCTTTGGTAGGTTCGGGCATAATGAGTGAACGAATAAGTGAACGCGCGTCCGAGTCTGCGTCTTCCCCTGGCTTAGCGCGACGCGCAAGTGTCCGTGACAGTCACGGCAAGCCAGTCACAGATCTAGACAAAGTCAATCATTACATAATCAGTATTTGGACATCTCTCATCAGTGGCGCTCAGCATAACACCCCAAGGAAGTAAACTAGCATCTGTTCCGTATCACTCGCTCTTTTTCTCTCCGCAGCAACCAGCACTCTCACCAACGCGCTCATGCGCTAACACCACTTTTTTTTTTCTTTTCACTTCCTCAACCTGGTTGGCCGCATCTCTTTCTACGTAACATAGCAATGGTTTGTCCAGTTTCTCCAGAACCAGACAGTATTTGTGACTTTCTGAGGCAGGCAACCTCTCCACACACTTCTCCATCCATCTCCCCACCCGGACTTCTTCAGTCATCGTCTTCTTCCACAGCGGATCCTCCCAGCAATGATTCCCATTCTCCTCGCACTCCACCACGCGGGCGACCAAGGTACCCTTCTGGTCTTGCACATGGTGGTCCGCGGGTTCCTCTACATCGTCGTGGTAATTCAAAGACGTATGAACGCCTAGAGGACCTTCTCCAGGAAGCGGGGTATAAAGAGACACGTATCTTTACCCCTGAGACTGAGCGACACCGAGAATATGAACGAGGGCAGCGAGAGAGACCACAACTAGATGGCCGGGTAAGGAGCGGTGTGGATACGGTGGTGGGATTTCTTTCGGGGCTCGTCTCGGGGCAGGCCGACAGTCAGCGCGTGCATGCGAATGACTCTCAAAACGAACAAATGGCGCGGACTTCTCTCTCGGCTCATCAGTCGAGGCCTTCGTCAAGCAATGGTGAGT